CTTGTAAAGGTAGGTGACTCATACCTGGGGCATATTTATCCAGTGCAAAAAGTGTCCCGTGTTTCCCTTCGTCTTTCTAATCATCCTTTGGTGAAGCGTGCAAAGTCAGGGAATGCTGCCAGAGATGAAAGCTTATCTGTTTGATAGGGGAATTAGGTGAATCGGTCAACCCAAAAGATGAAGCTTCTGCTAATTGCTCATTGGGATGTATCTACACTAGGTATGGGCCAACTTGGGTCCTCCAGGTGTTTTGGACTTCAACTCCCACCATTCCTAACAGCCTCAGGCCCCTCACCCGCTTAAGCAGAGTTTTTCAAGTTGCTTCTGACACGATAAAAAAAGGTAATATTTCCAATGTTATGGGGGCAATGAATCCATTCCATGTTTTGATCAGGTTTAAAGGAGCTCTCCAAGGTGTTGAGTCTACTTAGCAATAGAACTTGGCAAGTTCACCAACCCATTGAGTAAGTCATTTTTTGCAGACAGTACTTGAATAGTGGTATGGAATCTATCTATCTATCTAAGGTAAAAGTAGTCCCCTGACATTAAGTCCAGTCATGTCTGACTCTGGGGTGTGGTGCTCATCTCCATTTCTAAGCCGAAGAGCCAGCGTTGTCCGTAGACACCTCCAAGGCCATGTGGCCGGCATGACTGCATGGAGCGCCGTTACCTTCCCGCCGGAGCGGTACCTATTGATCTACTCACATTTGCATGTTTTCGAACTGCTAGGTTGGCAGAAGCTAGGGCTGACAGCGGACGCTCACGCCGCTCCCCGGAATCGAACCTGCGACCTTTCGATCAACAAGCTCAGCAGCTCAGTGCTTTAACCCACTGCGCCACCGGGGGCTCCATCTATCTACTTATCTATGTCTGATATGTGTATTGTGTCCAAATTTGGTGTCAATTCATCCAATGGTTTTTTCTTTTTAGTTATGTTAATCCCACAAACGAACATTACATTTTATTTATATCTATCTACTTATCTATGTCTATATAAATAAAATGTAATGTTCGTTTGTGGGATTAACATAACTCAAAAACCACTGGATGAATTGACACCAAATTTGGACACAATACACATATCAGACCAACAAATGACCATCACTCATTTCTTGTTTCTTTGTCAGTGTTGATGTGGAGATTGTCTGGTTTGCCTACTCTGGAACATGCAACATATACAGTAATTGTCCTTCTGTAGGGGTCCCTTTCAAATCGATGATACTATATCTCTGTGTGTGTGAATCATATCTATCTATCTATCTATCTATCTATCTATCTATCTATCTATCTATCTACCTACATCTATGGCTGGATGGCTCTTTGACAGGAGGGCTCTGATTACATTTTCTTGCCCTGGTGGAGAGAGTTGGACTGGATGGCCTTAAGTATTTTCTGTTGGTCATTGGGGTTCTGTGTGGGAAGTTTGCCCCAATTCTATCGTTGATGGGGTTCAGAATGCTCTTTGACTGTAGGTGAACTATAAATCCCAGTAACTACAACTCCCAAATGTCAAGGTTTTCCCTAAACTCCATATGTGTTCATATTTGGGCATATGGAATATTTGTTCCAAGTTTGGTCCAGACCCATCATTGTTTGAGTCCACAGTGCTTTCTGGATGTAGGTGAACTATAACTCCCAAACTCAAGGTCAATGCCCACCAAACACTTCTAGTGTTTTCTATTGGTCATGGGAGTTCTGTGTGCCACGTTTGGTTCAATTCCATCGTTGGTGGAGTTCAGAATGCTCTTTGATTGTAGGTAAACTATAAATCCCAGCAACTACAACTCCCAAATGACAAAATCATTTTTTTGAGTGATGGTCACTCCTTGGGTTAGTTAGGTGTCTTGTGGCCAAATTTAGCAGCAATTTGTCCAGTGGTTTTTGAGTTATTCTAATCACACAAACGGACATTGCATTTTTATTTATATAGATATATATTTTAAATGGTGATTAAGTTTAAAAAGTGATGGGGACAAGTGGGTCTCCATCGGGAGGGAGTTCCTTAGCTGGAACTATGATGTGTTTTAGTTTATTACAGGGCTGCATATTTTGTCACCATTGCTATGGCCTTTCCTCATTTTTTTTCTGTCAGAAGAAGTTACAGGATGAACTATTTTGCATATTATGCCTTTTTCTGGGAAATATTGTTGCCCGTTTCCTTGTAGTTTGGACCTTGGCGAGGAAGAGATTAGTCAAGGTTGGTGGATCCTTGTGTCCATCCCTTCCGAAGATACCAATGCAATTGTGAGCAAACGGTGGCACCAATGTGTCACACGGAGGGGGGAAAGTCCCAATTATTCCTTTTTCTTCCTGTTCCAAGAGAGACCAGTTTTTCTTCTTTTGCATTCCCTCATTCTTCTTCTTCTTCTTAGAATCATAGAATCCTAGAGTTGGAAGAGACCTCATGGGCCATCCAGTCCAGCTCCCTGCCAAGAAGCAGGAATATTGCATTCAAAGCACCCCCGACAGATGGCCATCCAGCCTCTGTTTAAAAGCTTCCAAAGATGGAGCCTCCACCACACTCCAGGGCAGAGAGTTCCACTGCTGAACGGCTCTCACAGTCAGGAAGTTCTTCCTCATGTTCAGATGGAATCTCCTCTCTTGTAGTTTGAAGCCATTGTCCTAGTCTCCAGGGAAAGCAGAAAACAAGCTTGCTCCCTCCTCCCTGTGGCTTCTGATCTCAATATTTATCATAAAAATAAAACTTAGTACTTATGTTCTTGGAATCCATCTTGTTCTCCTTCTCCTTCTCCTCCTTCTTCTCCTTCTCCTTCTCCTTCTCCTCCTTCTCCTTCTCCTCCTCCTCCTCCTCCTCCTCCTCCTCCTTCTCCTCCTCCTCCTCCTCCTCCTTCTCCTCCTCCTCCTCCTCCTCCTCCTCCTCCTCCTCCTCCTCCTCCTCCTCCTCCTCCTCCTCCTTCCTCCATCCTTTTTGCTCCCAGGCCCTCTTTCTTGGTGATGTCGGTATCCCACTCCACAAAGCAAGGAGCCTGGAAAACATTTCTCTGTTTTTGGACTGTGACTTCCAGAATCCTCCAACTATCATGGTCATGCAGCCTGAAGAATATCAATATAGTCATCGTCGTCATCTTCATCATCTCGACCTCTATCCCTTAATTTCGGACACAAAGTGTCTCACAACAACTATATAAATAAAAATGTAATGTTCCTTTGTGGGATTAACTTAACTCAAAAACGACTGGACGAATTGCCACCAAATTTGGACACAAGACACCTATTACCCCAAGGAGTGACCATCACTCAAAAAGCATGGATTTTGTCATTGGGGATTTGTAATTGCTGGGATTTACATTTCACCTACAATCAAAGAGCATTCTAAACCCCACCAACGATGGAATTGAACCAAACTTGGCATATAGGACTCTCACAATGAACAGAAAATTCTGGAAGGTTTTGGTGGGCATAGACCTTGTGTTTAGGAGTTTTAATTCACCCACATCCAGAGAGCACTGTGGACTCAAACAATGAAGGATCTAGATTAAACTTGCCACGAATACTCCATATGCCCAAATGTGAACACTGGTGGCGTTTGGGGAAAATAGACCTTGACATTTGGGAGTTGTAGTTGCTGGGATTTATAGTTCAACTACATTCAAAGAGCATTCTGAACTACACCAACAATAGAATTAAGCCAAACTTCCCACACAGAACTCCCATGACCAACAGAAAATACTGGAAGAGTTTGGTGAGCATTTACCTTGAATTTTGGAGTTGTAGTTCACCTACATCCAGAGTGTTTTCTGATGGGATTTGGTGACCCCTCTGACTCCCCCATTTGACCACCCCCCAGTGGTCCTAACCCCCAGGATTGGAAACACTGGTCTATTTTATGTGGGAGAGTTGAAACTGGAAAATCATTTATTTCCCCCTTGCTGGTTTTTAATGGGTTTGGTTTTGATTATTTCCAAAATGCTAAAGACTACAGAAACTCTTCATTTGGAACCATATCATGGCTGACGGCTCACTTTTAGCTAGGAGTGTGCTTTAAAATGCACTCGAAATGGGGAAAACAAAAGGAGTGAGAGAAGAGCGAGTCACTTGCTTGGCTACTGAAGCATTGCATAGAGTTAAGGTGGGGAAATTCTCTCGTTGGTGGAGTTCAGAATGCTCTGTGATTGTAGGTGAACTATAAATCCCAGCAACTACAACTCCCAAATGTCAAGGTCTATTTTCCCCAAACTCCACCAGTGTTCACATTTGGGCATATTGAGTATTTGTGCCAAGTTTGGTCCAGATCCATCATTGTTTGAGTCCACAGTGCTCTCTGGATGTAGGTGAACTACAACTCCAAACTCAAGGTCAATGCCCACCAACCCTTCTAGTGTTTTCTGTTGGTCATGGGAGTTCTGTGTGCCATGTTTGGTTCAATTCCATCATTGGTGGAATTCAGAATACTCCTGGATTGTAAGCAAACTATAAATCCCAGCAACTACAACTCCCAAATGCCAAGGTCTATTTTCCCCAAACTTGATCAGTGTTCCTATTTGGGCATACTAAGGATTCATGCCAAGTTTGAGTCCACAGTGCTCTCTGGATATAGGTGAACTACAACTCCCAAACTCAAGCTCAATGCCCACCAAACCTTTCCAGTATTTTCTGTTGGTCATGGGAGTTGTGTGTGCCATGTTTGGTTCAATTCAATCATTGGTGGAGTTCAGAATGTTCTTTGATTGTAGGTAAACTACAACTCCCAAACACAAGGTCAATGCCCACCAAACCCTTCCAGCATTTTCTATTGGTCCTGGGAGTTCTGTGTGCCAAGTTTGGTTCAATTTCCATCGTTGGTGGAGTTCAGAATGCTCTTTGATTGTAGGTGAACTATAAATCCCAGCAACTACAACTCCCAAATGACAAAATCAATCCCCCCCAACCCCAAATTCAAATTTGGGCGTATTGGGTATTTGTGCCAAATTTGGTCCAGTGAATGAAAATCCATCCTGCTTATCAGATATTTATGGTATGACTAGTTTTATGACTTTTAGGAAAACATCTGCTGAAGAAATGTGGACCAACCCTATGAGTCAAGCTAAAATCGGCCACTGGGTTTCGCTTTGGTTTGCCCTGGCAGCTTTATGGCCTACTTCTGGTAAGTCCACATACAAGTGAACTACTTCAAAATGTACTTGTTCTGACTTACAAACATTCATCTTAAGAACAAACCTACAGAACCTATCCTGTTCTTGGAGACTGTTTGTATATGTGTGTATATATGTGCATGTTGTTCATTCATTCAGTTGTTTCCAACTCTTCATGACCTCATGAACTAGCCCACGCCAGAGCTCCCTGTCGGCCGTCACCACCCCCAGCTCCTTCAGAGTCAGGCCAATCACTTCAAGGATGCCATCCATCCATCTTGCCCTTGGTTGGCCCCTCTTCCTTTTTCCCACCATCATTGTCTTCTCTAGGTGACCTCATGGACCAGCCACGCAGAGCTCCCTGTCAGCCATCACCCCCCCAGCTCCTTCAAGGTCAAGCCAGTCACTTCAAGGATGCCATCCATCCATCTTGCCCTTGGGGCCCCTCTTCCTTTTTCCTTCCATTTTCCCCAGCATATTGTCTTCTCCAAGCTTTCCTGTCTTCTCATCATGTGGCCAAAGTACTTCATTTTTGTCTCTACTATCCTTCCCTCCAATGGGCTTTATTTCCTGAAGTATGGACTGGTTGGATCTTCTGGCGGTCCAAGGCACTCTCAGAACTTTCCTCCAGCACCACAGTTCAAAAGCATCTCTCTTCCTTCTCTCAGCCTTCCTTCTGGTCCAGCTCTCACATCCGTAGGTGACTATGGGGAATACCATTGCTTTAACTATGCGGATCTTTGTTGCCAGTGTGATGTCTCTACTCTTCACTATTTTATCGAGATTGGTCTTTGCTCTCCTCCCAAGAAGGAAGCGTCTTCTGATTTCCTGGCCTCAGTCTGCGTCTGCACTCATCTTTGCACCTAGAAATACAAACCCTGTCACGGCCTCCACATTTTCTCCCTCTATTTCCCCGGTTGTCAATCATTCTTGTTGCCATAATCTTGGTTTTTTTTATGTCTAACTGCAACCCAGCTTTTGCGCTTTCTTCTTTCACCTTGGTTAGAAGGCTCCTCAGCTCCTCCTCACTTTCAGCTATCAAAATGGTATAATCTGCATATCTAAGTTTGTTAATGTTTTGTCCAGCAATTTTAACTCCAGCCTTGGATTCATCAAGCCCCATATGTCGCATGATGTGTTCTGCATACAAGTTGAATAGGTTGGGTGAGAGTATACAACCCTGCCGTACGCTTTTCCCAGTCTTGAACCCGTCTGTTGTTCCATGGTCAATTCTTACTGTTGCTACTTGGTCCTTAAACAGATATCTCAGGAGAGAGACAAGGTGGCTTGGTATGCCCATCCCACCAAGAACTTGCCACAATTTATTATGATCCACACAGTCAAAGGCTTTAGAATAGCCAAAAAGAAATAGATGTTTTTCTGAAACTCCCTGCCTTTCTCCATTATCCAGCGGATATTGGCAATTTGGTCTTTTGTTCCTCTGCCTTTTCTAAACCCAGCTTGTACATCTGGCAACTCTCTCTCCATGTATTGCTGGAGTCTTCCTTGCAGGATCTTGAGCATTATCTTATTCTGGCATGAGAAATAAAAACCACTGTATGAAAGTTTGAGCATTCTTTAGCATTTCCCTTTTTTGGTATAGGGATATAAGTTGATTTTTTCCCAGTCTGATGGCCATTCTTGTGTTTTCCATATTTGCTGGCATATGGCATGCATCACCTTGACAGCATCATCTTTTCAGATTTTAAACAGTTCCGCTGAGATCCCGTCGTCTCCTGCTGCCTTGTTGCTAGCAATGCTTCTTAAGGCCCATTCGACCTCACTCCTCAGGATGTCTGGTTCTAATATGTGTGCATATTATTCTAATATGTGTGTATATATGTGCATATTCATCTGCATATATGTATATTCCTTGTTTTCTTCTTTCTCAGGTGCTCAGGAGAATATCAACTGGGAAATTCAGCGTTATGATGGCTGGTATAACAACCTTATGCATCACAGGCACAACTCTGCAGGTAAGAGCTTTGGAACAGGGGAGCCTTCGATTCCAGGCATGGAAGAAAGTGCTATGAGAAATCCACACCCCAAATGGTTATAGATTTGTGGTGAGAAAAGGGGTCATTAATGGATTATCTTCACCACAGGGGGAAAAAGATAAAGGTAAAGGCTTCCCTTTGACATTAAGTCTAGTCATGTCTGACTCTGGAAATGGTTCTCATCTCCATTTCTAAGTCAAAGAGCCGACATTGCCCATAGACACCTCCAAGGTCATGTGGCCGGCATGACTGCATGGAACACTGTTACCTTCCCATCAGAGTGGAACCTATTGATTTACTCACATTTGCATGTTGTCGAACTGCTAGGTTGGCAAAAGCTGGGTCTAACAGCAGAAGCTCATTCTGCTCCTTGGGTTGGAAACACAGACCTTTCGGTCAGAAAGTTCAGCAGCTCAGCAGTTTAATCTGCTGTGAAACCAGTGGATTATCTTTTGAAATTGTTTGAAAAATGTTTTTAAGGCTGCATTTTATCTGTATGTGTTTGTTGCATGTATTTTAATAGTGCTTTAACCATATTGTACTTCGCCTTGAGCCACAAGGAGAAGCAAGTAATAAATATACTATTATTATTGGTGGTGTTGAAACATATTATGTAACAAAAACCATGTCACATCTTTTAATAGGCTTTGCAGCCTAGGGACTGGAGAAGTTACTTCTCAATTTGTGTACCCTCCATCCAGCTAATACTTGTGCTCAAGGGATGGTGCTAAGTTACTCACATGTGCATGTTATTGAACTGCTAGGTTGGCAAAAGCTGGGGCTAACAGCAGGAGCTCATCCTGCTCCCTGGGTTGGAACCACGGACCTTTCGGTCAGCAAGTTCAGAAGCTCAGCAGTTTAACCCACTGCGCCAATGGAGGTTCCTACCACAGGGAAAAAAACCCTACCTATCCAATAACACCATCGTGCAACAATGTCTGGAGAGGGACAACATGGTGCTATGATGCCAAAGTACTAGAGGGAGCAATGCATCGCTATTGCACGATAATGGAGAGATGTGATAATGGTCACATAGAAAGATAGTAGCTCCTAGGTTGAAATAAGGACTGGCAAGTCTGTGACCACTAGGCATGGTTAGGTTCGGTTGAAATCTTCGTAATTCGGAATAAATTCAGAAAGATTTGCTTTTTAAATTAATTTTGAAGTTGTTAAGGAAACCGGAAGTCCCTTTGCCCTTCCAAAGCTTTTTCCGCCATTTCTGTTAGGAAGCAGTAAGTGAGTCGGAAATTATTCAGCTTTGTCCCCACTTCTGGTCCCTGGCCGGCTCAAGCCAGAGAAGCCGTTTTAAACCAGAGTGATGAATTTCCTCCCTTTCCTCCCCCCTTCTGTCTCAAGAGAAGCCGTTTTAAACCAGCGTGGATGAATTTCCTCCCTTCCCCCCCCCCCCCTCCCGCTTTTATCTCAAGCCAGAGAAGCCATTTTAAACCAGAGTGGATGAATTTCCTCTCTTTGCTCCTGCCCCCTTTCTGGAGTAAAACAGCTACTTTCAAAGTAAAGACCACCCAATAAAACAGGAAACAACACTTTCAAACCATTAAGGAAGGATTTGAAAGTCTCAGAAGTTTCAAAAAGTTTTGAACATTTTTTTCTGTGAAAATCGGAATTAACTTTAGAATCGAACCTTTTTTTAAAAAAATTGGATCAAACAAGCCTTGTGATCACATCTGATATGTTTATGTTCTCATTAGGATCGCTTTTGTCGCGATTGCTCCCTGCCAACTACGCCGACGGGGTGTACCAGGCCTATCAAGAACCAGCAGTGCCCACAGCCCGTAAGCTCAGTAATGTGGTGGCCCAAGGGGACTCCGAATCCCCTTCTCAGGGGAACAGAACTGTGCTGAGTGTCTACTTTGGTAAGCTATCTTTTAAAGAAAGCAGTGTTGGTATCTATCTATATAAATAAAATGTAATGCTCATTTGTGGGATTAACAGAACTCAAAAACCACTGGACGAATTGACACCAAATTTGGACACAAGTCACCTAAAAGTCCAACGAGTGTCCATCACCCATAAACACACACACACACAAACACACACATGAAACCCCAGAGGAACAGACTTAAAAACCCCCCAAATACACCATATATACATATATTTTATGTACTTTATTATCTGTTTTTTTGTTATGCTTTTGTGTTATGTTGTGTTTACTGTATTGATGGGCGTGGCCTCATGTAAGCTGCCCCGAGTCCCTTTGGGGGAGATGGGGGTGGGGTATAAATAAATATTATTATTATTATTATTATTATTATTATTATTATTATTATATACACATACACTCATATACATATGCACATGCACACATTCATACACACACACACATATATATATGCACAAACACACACAAATATACACATATACACACATACATATACATACACACATATACATACACACCCCTCCTCCTTGCCCCCCAGACCTAGCCTGCTGGTGCACCCCGAAGTCTGATGGGCACAGCTGGGTGAGAGTTACCCAGCTATGATTTTGTAATTTTTGATTGTTGTATTGTTGTTGTTGTGTTTTGTTTCTGATGTATTTGGGTTCGGCCTCTTGTAAGCTTCACCGAGTCCTGCGGGAGGTCGTAACGGGGTATAAATAAAGGTTTATTATTATTATTATTATTATTATTATTATTATTATTATTATATACTTATACACATAAACACACATATACATATCCACATACATATATACACACAAATATGCAAATAGACAAGCACACACATACAGGGGCGGCTCAACCCATTACGCAAAGTAAGCATTTGCAGCATAGTTGGTTTTGCCCAGGGGAGCTCTTGAGGCGCTCTTGGGGGAAAACAGACCTTGACATATGCGAGTTGTAGTTACTGGGATGTATAGTTCACCTACAATCAAAGAGCATTCTGAACTCCACCAATGATGGAATTGAACCAAATATGGCACACAGAACTCCCACGACGAACAGAAAATATATATCAGTGATTGGTGGGGGGGGCGCCAAAATACTGTTTGCTTACCGTTGAAAATTACCTAGGGCCGCCTCTGCACACATATACATAATATGCATTTACACATATACACAAATACACACACACACACACACATATATGCAAACACACATATATACACAAACATATACACACACAAATCACATATACACAGACTGGGCCACAGCAATGTGTGGCAGGGGATGGCTAGTAAAATATATTTGTACAGTTGTTGGAGTGGGAGAGAATACAATGGGATCCAGAAGGATGCAAGAAACTCAGCGTACATGGCACCCAATGAGTGACTCATTAGATTGGATTCTGTGAGCCTGTTGTAACCACTTACCATCTGATTCCTATTTTTCTACAATCTTCTACCGTGTTGCAAAGAACACAGTTTCACCAAGTCGTATTATTCAACTTTTTACACAACTTTATGTTGAAAGTTGGTGACAGCATGAGTTATCTTTCTGAAATAGTTGGCAACTGCCTGAGCTTACCTCTGTTTTCTGTCCCCAAATTCTTGTCTCCCTTTAAGTCAATCCTTTTAGTACACAAAGCCAAACCTCCTCCAGGGTAGAATTTCCCTTCCCCAGATATATTGGACTTCAATGCCCATCATCCCACACAGACCGGGATTGCTACATGTTGTGGGCCAAAGGATTTGGTGGATGCATTATTGAAGGCTTTCATGGCCAGAATCACTGGGTTGTTGTGAGTTTTCCGGGATGTATAGCCATGTTCCAGAAGCATTCTCTTCTGACGTTTCACCTGCATCTATGTCAGGCACCCTCAGAGGTTGTGAGGTCTGTTGGAAACTAGGAAAATTGGGTTTATATATCTGTAGAATGTCCAGGGCAGAGAAAGAATGCTTGTCTATTTGAGGTAGGTGTGACTGTTTCAATTGGCCACCTTGATTGCCATTTAATGGCCTATCAGTTTCAAGGTCTGGCTTCTTACTGCATGACGGAAAACTTGACTCTTTGAGCAAGCTTTTGAGAATGTTGCAGAGTAGATAACATGAGGCTATGAATGATGAACATGGAATGGCCAGACGATGTTACTGGAAAACGATTTTAACAAGATGATATTGGTGACTACATATTGTAATGGTTTTTATATATGTTTTTATATTGTTATGTTGACTGTTTTTAATCATACTTTTATGAATGCATGGCATCGAACTGTGCCAATCAGTAATCCGCCTTGAGTCGCCGAATGGTTGAGAAAGGTGGGCTATAACTGTCATAAATAAATAAATAAGTTTGTTGGGAGGTGCTTAGCTGGCCCTGATTGTTTTTTGTCCGGAATACCAATGTTTTTGAGTGTTGTTTTTTATTTACTGTTATAATTTTAGAGTTTTTTTTAAAAAAAATACCGATAGTCAGATTCTGTTCATTATCATGGTTTCTTCCATTCTGTTGAAATTGTCCAAGCAGTAAGAAGCCAGACCTTGAAACTGCTAGGCCATTAAATGCTAATCAAGGTGACAGTACATTACAATTCATAACAGTAGCAAAATTACAGTTCTGAAGTAGATACGAAAATAATGTTACGGAGCCTTATTCTTGATCTGCATCGTCTCCCACAGTGAGGGCATTGGCTTCCAGGCAGAAGGTGGTCTCGATCAGGGTTGGCTTGACACACCTTCCTCTTGGCACTTTTCTCTCTTTCGCCCTCCATTCGTGCCTCTTCAAATTCTGCAGCACTGCTGGTCACAGCTGACCTCCAGCTGGAGCCCTCAAGGGCCAGGGCTTCCCAGTTCTCAGTCTCTATGCCAGAGTTTTGAAGGTTGGCTTTGAGCCCATCTTTAAATCTCTTTTCCTGCCCACCAACATTCCGTTTTCCGTTCTTGAGTTTGGAGTAGAACAACTGCTTTGAAAGACGGTGGTCGGGCATCCGGACAACGTGGCCAATCCAGCAGAGTTGATGGCGGAGGACCATCGCTTCAATGCTGGTGGTCTTTACTTCTTCCAGCATGCTGACATTTCCCTGCTTGTCTTCCCAAGAGATTTGCAGGATTTTCCGGAGGCAGCGCTGATGGAATCGTTCCGGGAGTTGCATGTGACGTCTATAGACAGTCCATGTCTTGCAGGCGTAGAGCAGGGTTGGGTGGACAATGGCTTTATAAACAAGCCCCTTGGCCTCCCTACGGATGTCCCAGTCCTCAAACACTCTCTGCTTCATTCGGAAAAAAGTTGCACTCGCAGAGCTCAGGCGGTGTTGTATTTCAGTGTCAATGTTGACGCCTGTAGACTGTCCACGTCTCACAGGCGTATAGCAGGATTGGGAGGACAATAGCTTTATAAACAAGCTCCTTGGCCTCCTTACCGATGTCCTGGTCCTCAAACACTCTCTTCTTCATTCAGAAAAAAGTTGCACTCGCAGAGCTCAGGCGGTGTTGTATTTCAATGTCAATGTTGCCGCCTGTAGACTGTCCACGTCTCGCAGGTGTATAGCAGGGTTGGGAGGACAATAGCTTTATAAACAAGCCCCTTGGCCTCCCTACGGATGTCCTGGTCCTCAAACACTCTCTGCTTCATTCAGAAAAAAGTTGCACTCGCAGAGCTCAGGCGGTGTTGAATTTCAGTGTCGAACTGCATTAAGGGGTTGCAGCATTAGGAAGGTTGAGAACCACGGCTTTACTGGAAAGGACCATGGTGTCTTTTCTCATTCATAAACTTAGATGATGGGGTTGACTCCCAGGTGATTTACTAACCCCTTGGATTATAGGTTTGGTGCTGCCTCTCAGCAATGGTTGAGAAACCTCCTTGCGGGTTTGGACACCTGACCTCAAAATGATGTGATCCCTTAAACCTATTCCTCCAGGCGTTCATTCATCATGGTCACGGGTATAATTTAAAGCCCTCTGGCATTTCCAGCATGAGCTGGACTGAAGCTTCGGCCATTAACTTAATCCCTTAGGATATGATCAAACAGGCAGAGGATCACTGGAAGGCCAAGAATGCTCTTCCGATGTGGGAATGGGAGGGAAAAGGACTAAGCTGAGCCAAGTCTTTCTTATATAATTGCCGTTGATTCACAACGTTGTCCACCTGCAGCAATTAGGAGGCAATCCTTGAGATCTAAATTTTGACATAATATATCCTGGTGGGACCTACTGGCCTAGAACGGCCTGTGCCTGGGTTGGGTTCGTTGACTTAAGACAGATGTAATTTGGATCAACTCTCTTTCTGGGGCCGTTTGTTTTGACATAGAACTCCAAGCATCCCATTTCTGCCAGAATCAGATGATTTAAATCCTCATGTTGCAATGTGATTTCACCAGCCAAGATCTTCCATCAAACAGTCCGTCGTATACTTCCATCAAGTATATTTACACTCATACTTTATGGAGGTTTCTGAGACATGGAAATCTCCATAACTTTTTGGAAAATTTATTTATTTTTATTTTTTACTAGCCATCCCCCCGCCACACGTTGCTGTGGCCCCGCCTGGTGATCTGGAAAATAAAGTAATGAGAAAGTGTTGGTTTCTAATATATGTAATTTCTTTATGCTGTGAGTAAACAGCATTTGATTACGTTTTCTTGCCCTGCTGAAGGGAGTTGGACTGGATGGCCTTAAGTATTTTCTTTTGGTCATACGGGTTCTGTGTGGGAAGTTTGCCCCAATTCTGTTGTTCGTGGGGTTCAGAATGCTCTTTGATTGTAGGTGAACTACAAATCCAAGGAACTACAACTCCCAAATCTCAAGGTCTATTCCCCCCAAACTCCATCTGTGTTCTTATTTGGGCATATGGAATATTTGTGCCAAGTTGGTCCAGACCCATCATTGTTTGAGTCCACAGTGCTCGCTGGATGTAGATGTACTACAACTCCCAAACTCAACGTCAATGCCTACCAAACCCTTCCAGTATTTTCTGTTGGTCATGGAAGTCCTGTGTGCCATGTTTGTTTCAAATCTATCATTGGTGGAGTTCAGACTGATCTTTGATTGTTGGTTAACTATAAATCCCAGCAACTACAACTCCCAAATGACAAACTTAATTTTTTGAGTGATGGTCACTCCTTGGGTTAGTAGGTGTCTTGTGGCCAAATTTGGTGGCAATTCGTCCAGTGGTTTTTGAGTTGTGTTAATCCCACAAACGAACGTTACATTTTTATTTATATTGATTTACTATATTTATATACCGTCCTTCTCAGCCCACAGGCAACTCGTGGTGGTTTACAGTTGGTACCAAGACCATACAATACAATTTCAATACAATAAAAACAATCTATAAAAATAAAAATGTAATGTTTGAACTCTTGTCTGCTGGAGCTAGGTGTGAATGTTTCAGCTGACCACCTTGATTAGCATTTGATGGCCTGGCAGTTTTTTTTTGTTGTGGCTTGTTAGACCAAACAACTGCCAGGCCATCAAATGCTAATCAAGGTGTCAGTTGAAACATTCACACCTAGCTCCAGCAGACAAGAGTCCTTTGTCTCACTCTGGCCACAGATATATAAACCCATTTTCTAGTTCCAACAGACCTCACTACCTCTGAGGATGCTTGCCATAGATGCAGGCGAAACGTCAGGAGAGAATGCCTCTAGAACATGGCCATATAGCCCGAAAAAACCTACAATAACCCAGAGGTGGCATAGTTTCATCACTTGAGAATTGGCACATAGCAGAAACAAATGCATGTGAAATGGCCTCATGTGTCTATGTGTGATGAAAGAATAATGATATTATAATAATAGCTATTTTTATATCCCGCCACCATCTCCCCAAAGAGACTCAGGGTAGTTTACATGGGGACCAAGCCCAGCATAAACAAGGAATACAAACTAAAACATAATTTAAAACATTGTTGTTGTTCATTCGTTCAGTCGTCTCCGACTCTTCGTGACCTCATGGACCAGCCCACGCCAGAGCTCCCTGTCGGCCGTTACCACCCCCAGCTCCTTCAAGGTCAGTCCAGTCACTTCAAGGATGCCATCCATCCATCTTGCCCTTGGTCGGCCCCTCTTCCTTTTACCTTCCACTTTCCCCAGCATAATTGTCTTCTCTAGGCTTTCCTGTCTCCTCATGATGTGGCCAAAGTACTTCAACTTTGTCTCTAGTATCTTTCCCTCCAGTGAGCAGTAGGGCTTTATTTCCTGGAGGATGGACTGGTTGGATCTTCTCGCAGTCCAAGGCACTCTCAGAACTTTCCTCCAACACCACAGCTCAAAAGCATCGATCTTCCTTCGCTCAGCCTTCCCTAAGGTCCAGCTCTCACATCCGTAGGTGACTACAGGGAATACCATGGCTTTGACTAGGCGGATCTTTGTTGCCAGTCTGATGTCTCTACTCTTCACTATTTTATCGAGACTGGACATTGCTCTCCTCCCAAGAAGTAAGCGTAAAACATAATAACCTATAAACAATATAATTAAACATGAAAACCAGAAAAATAAAAACATAAAAATACATCAAAGGTGCATCACATGTGAACCTCCATCCTATAGTGTTGCCTAAAGATGCATCTACATGGTAGAATCAATGCAGTTTGACACTACTTTGACTGCCGCAGCTCAAAACTATCAAATCCTGGGGAGGGAGGTATTTCTATACCATCTTGAGTCTTTCCCAAAGAGGGCCAGTGCTTAACTTCAACTTCCACAATTCCATATCACTGAGCCACGACAGATACTTTGGTTCTTGACACACCTGATCCACTCCTTTCTGTGACACTGTTTTTCTGGCAGGTTTTCATGTTGTCTCCGAGATCTCAGAGGCCATCAAGCCCGGCTGCCCGGCTGAATTCCTCAATTTGCCCGTCCCCAAAGGAGACCCCGTGTTTGACCCCACAGGCTCAGGAGATGTAGTTTTGCCCTTCCAGCGCATGCAGTGGGCCCCAGGCACGGGACGAAGCCCCAACAATCCCCGCGAGCAGGTACAAGCCGTTTGGTTTTGTTGTTTGGATGGAGTTGTGCTCCCTTCTCATAGAGTTGTGCAATGTTTCTGCAAGATGTAGGATCAGGAAAGTATTATTTATTTGTTTGATACACTTGTATACCGCTAATATCTCAGCCTAGAACGGCGACTCATTGCGGTTTACAGCAGTTAAAACAATCTACAATTTAAAAACATATACACATATAATAACAAATTCAATAACAAATTATTGGGCCACCAATAATAATCCCATATATCTCGAGTTGAACTTGAACTGTTGACCAAAGTAGGCCAATTTCATCTTCTGCAAGCAAGACAAGTTGCTCCAAAATGCTCGATGTTCTGCTTAAGATATTTTCAAGAGCATAGAATTATTCCCTCGAAATGGAGAGGATATATGTAAATCCAGGGAACAAAAAAAAATCACATTAGGGATGGACGATTCAATGGCTAGCCTAAAGTCAATCATAGGGTGCATCTACACAAGGTATGAGCCAACTTAGGTCCTCCACATGTTTTGGACTTCAACTCCCACAATTCTTAACAGCCTATGGCTGTTAGGAATACTGGGAGTTGATATCCAAAAGATCTGGAAGACTGAAGTTTGCCCATGGCCTATTTACCTTTACTTACTTACTTACTTAGGCGATCCCTTGTAGTCGGAGGATAATGGTCCTCCAGGTTCGGTGTCCTGGCGATGGGTCCGTAGGTGACTATGGAGCCCAATTCTTGATCTGCATCTTCTCCCGCAGTGAGGACATTGGTTTCCAGGTGGAAGACAGTCTCAGTCGGGGTTGACTTGATTTGCCTTCCTCTTGCCACGTTTCTCTCATTTGCCCTCCATTCGTGCCTCTTCAAATTCTACAGCACTGCTGGTCACAGCTGACCAGCTGGAGCGCTCAAGGGCCAGGGCTTCCCAGTTCTCAGTGTTGATGCCAGAATTGTTAAGGTTGGCTTTGAGCCCATCTTTAAATCTCTTTTCCTGTCCACTAACATTCCATTTTCCATTCTTGAGTTCGGAGAAGAGCAACTGCTTTGGGAGACAGTAGTACCCTTTATCGTCATGTTAATACAGTAACTTAGTAAATTTTTATTATTATTATTGTTGTTGTTGTTGTTGTTTTATTATATTATATATCATATTATATCATAATGTATAATAATAATGATAATATAAAAACAGGTTGCAGGTTCAAATCCGGAGAGAGTGTGGATGAGCTCCCTCTGTCAGCTCCAGCTCCTCATGCAGGGACATGGGAGGAGACTCCCACAATGATGGCAAAGCATCAAAACATCCTGGCATCCCTTGGGCAACATCCTTGCAGACAGCCAGTTCTCACACAGCAGAAGGGACTTGCAGTTTCTCAAATATCAAAACATCCAAGCGTCCCCTGGGCAACATCCTTGCAGATGGCCAATTCTCTCACACCAGAAACGACTTGCAGTTTCTCAAGTCACTCCTGACATGAAAAAAATAACCTCCCTTCCCTATTGCTGGCAGGATGGAAAACCAACAGGTTGGAGGTTTGAATCCAGGAAGAGCGCGGATGAGCTCCCTCAGTCAGCTCCAGCTCCCCATGCGGGGACATGAGAGAAGCCTCCCACAAACATCAAAACATCCAGGCGTCCCCTGGGCAACATCCTTGCAGACAGCCAGTTCTCACACAGCAGAAGGGACTTGCAGTTTCTCAAGTTGCTCCTGACACAATAATAATAATAATAATAATAATAATAATAATAATAATAATATAATTTTATTTCTTACACAATTCTTGGCTTGAATTGAACATGCAAGCCAAGAATTCCCATCATGCGGATACTAATATCTAAGCCATTTGCCACTTTGTGTTAAGTTATTATCTCTCCAATCCTCAGTAATAGAACTGATCTGATCCTACCTGTTCGGAGGTTGTCTACGAATCAACTCACCTGCTCCATTCTGCTCTCTCCGTCCCTCAACAGATCAATGGTGTCACAGGTTGGTTGGACGGCAGTGCCATCTACGGCCCATCCCATTCCTGGAGTGATTCTTTGAGGAACTTCTCGCGAGGAAAGCTGGCTGTTGGATCTGACCCACTCTTCCCAAAGCAGACCAAACCAAATAGCTTGATGTGGAAGGCTTTGGATCCGTCCACAGGACAAGGCGGGACTGAAGGGATCTTTGGTAAGGAAGGTTCTCTCTCAATTCATTTTCCTTTGTGCCTTGAACTGTTGACCAAAGTAGGCCACATTTTTAAAAACCTGTTGCGGAACGAAAATCATGTGTAGTTCACATCTTTACTGGTCTACACACTGTCTTGCCAGAGGAAAGATATGCCACACAAATGATCAGTAAAGAAGGAGTTTACTCTTCGTTATGCAGAGAAACATATATACAATCATGTGAACAGTTTCATTGACTCAAACCATGTCCTTTGAGAGAGGTTCAAATGGTCTTTAGTGTCCATATGAAAGACTTCCTTCCATCAGCCCAGAAGCAAATACTGGGTAAGTTGCTGCACAGATAAAGCCTAAATATGTAACTGTTGCCAAAATTCCCACGCTCAGCTAGTCTCTTGGGCATAGCCCAACCAATCAGCTTCGTGTTTTGCATTTTCAGACACCACACACTCACCAACTGATTTTTACATGGTCCAACATTGTCTTCATTATAATTATTGTCTTATTTTCTTTCAATATTTTTGTTGTTGTTGATTCATTCAGTCACTTCCGACTCTTCATGACTTCATGGACCAGCCCACGACAGAGCTCCCTGTCGACGGTTGTCATCCCCAGCTCCTTCAAGGTCAAGCCAGTCACCACCCTCTATCTTGCCCTTGGTCAGCCCCGCTTCCTTTTTCCTTCCATTTTCCCCAGCATCATTGTCTTCTCTAGGTGACCTCATGGACCGGCCCATGCCAGAGCTCCCTGTCAGCCGTCACCTCCCTCAGCTCCTTCAAGGTCAATCCAGTCACTTCAAGGATCCCATCCATCCATCTTGCCCTTGGTCGGCCCCTCTTCCTTTTTCCTTCCATTTTCCCCAGCATAATTGTCTTCTCTAAGCTTTCCTTTCTTCTCATGATGTGGCCAAAGTACTTCATCTTTGCCTCTACTATCCTTCCCTCAATGAGCAGTCGGGCTTTATTTCCTTGAAGTATGGATTGGTTGGATCTTCTCGTGGTCCAAGACACTCTCAGAATTTTCCTCCAACACCACAGTTCAAAAGTCTATCTTCCTTTGCTCAGCCATTCTTATGGTCCAGCTGTCACATCCATGGGTTACTACAGGAAATACCATTTCTTTAACTATGAAGACCTTTGTTGACAGTGTGATGTCTCTACACTTCACTATTGTATCAAGATTGGTCATTGCTGTGCTCCCAAGAAGTAAACATATTCTGATTCCCTTGCTGCAGTCTGCATCTGCAGTCATCTTTGTCCTTAGAAATACAAAATCTGTCACGGCCTCCGCATTTTCTCCCTCTATTTGCCAGTTATCAATCAGTCTGGTTGCCATCATCTTCATTTTTTGGATGTTTAACTGTAACCCAGCTTTTGCCTTTCTTCTTTCGCCTTGGTTAGAAGATTCCTCAGCTCCTCCTCACTTTCAGTCATCAAGGTGGTATCATCTGCATATCTAAGGTTGTTAATGTTTCTTCCAGCAATTTAACTCCAGCCTTGGATTCGCTAAGCCCCGCACATTGCATGATGTGTTCTGCATATACGTTGAATAGGAAGGGTGAGAGTATACAACCCTGCTATACTCCTTTCTCAATCTTGAACCAGCCTGTTGTTCTGTGGTCTGTTCTTACTGTTGCTACGCGGTCCTTATATAGATTCCTCAGGAGACAAACAAGGTGATTTGGGATCCCCATCCCACCAAGAACTTGCCACAATTCATTACGATCCACACAGTCAAAGGCTTTAGAACAGTCAATGAAACTTAGAATAGTCAACAATTGGGTAACAATACTAAAAGGCTATGCATCATAAGCTAGGGTGAATCTACACTGTAGAATGAATATCGTTTGATACCACTTATGGAATCTTGGAATGTGTAGTTTGGCAAGGCACCAGCACTCTTTGGAAGGGAAGGCTAAAGGCTTCTTCCCTAAAATAACCTCATTCCCACAACTTATTTTAGCAGGAATCGGCAGTTGTGTTTTACTATTGCCTTCCCCTTGTGCTGTTTTTCACAAACTGAAGAAGGCTGTTAAGTTTAATGAGCCCTTCCTGTATTTTCATATGGACGTGACATGCCATCATATTCTCTGCTATTGCTTCTGGTAAATCCAAACATTTTATTGTTTTATATATGTTTATGGTGCCTCGTCGGTTTTATTTGCTGATCAGAAGGGGCTGTTTAGGCCTGGAAATTCTCCATATGGCAGTCGTTCAACACCAATTTAGAGATGCAAACAAAATCTCAAAATAAAAAAAAAACTACCATCTGGTGCAGTCTTATTCTTGGGACAATATTACCTCAGTTTGCTGGTGGAAAACAAGAAAATGATACAGACTTGAGTATCTCTCATCCAAAATGCTTTTGGGCCTTGGGTATTATTATTATTATTATTATTATTATTATTATTATTAGAAACATCACAAGATGAGTCCACAGCAGACACTCTGCTGGCTGTTGTATTGGATCACACGTCAGACACTTCTCAAGCGTTATTATTATTATTATTATTATTATTATTATTATTATTAGAAACACAACAAAATGAGTCCACAGTAGACACTCTGCTGGCTGTGAATCATCTGGACCACAGAGTTGTGTCTTTGTTTGTAGTCCGTCTGTGCAATTTTCTTGCAACAGCTGAGAAGATTATTATTGTTTATTTATTTATTTATTTATTTATTTGAAACATAACAAGATGAGTCCACAGCAGACACTCTGCTGGCTATTGAATTGGATCACACGTCGGACACTTCCCAAGTGTCTAGGACTGTGTGATGTTTCGGCAAATAATATGTGCAGATCCCAGTGAGGTGGCCTTCTGCAGCTGGCAGATGGTAATTTTGTCATCGCAGATTGTGTTTAAGTGCAGGCCAAGGTCATTAGGCACTGCACCCAGTGTGCCGATCACCACTGGAACCACCTTTACTGGCTTGTGCCAGAGTCTTTGCAGTTTGATCCTTAAATCCTCATATCATGTCAGCTTTTCCAGTTGTTTCTCTGCAATCCTACTGTCACCTGGGATTGCGACATCGACGATCCATACTATTATTATTATTATTATTATTATTATTATTATTATTATTGGATTTCAGATATCTTGCAGACAGGACCCAAGTCTAAACAAACAACTAATTGATGTTTCATATATACTTTATGCACATAGTGTTAAGGAAAACTACCCTAAACTATAGCAGAGCATCCAAAAATTAAACAGGATACTTAAAGTTGAGCATTCTGCTCATTAGCAAGCAGAGCGTGACGTACTGTTGGTTGTGGTTGTAAGAATTAAGAGCATAGGCAGACAAAGATGCAGAGTCCAATCTTAAGAAGGTTTATTTACAATAATAAGAAATAACTGCATTTCTTAATAAACAAGAACTGGGTCTGAGCTACTCTAACACTCATCTCTTCTAAAGTTTCAAGAGAGGGAAAAGAGAGGGAAAGAGCAGGCCAGACCCTGTTTTTATGCAGCCTGCCAACGCACAGTTCCAAAACTTCCATAGCGCCAAAACTTCAAAATGCATCCTTTCCCTAAGCACAAAGCCTTCCAACAGAGCAGAGCAAGGCGGGTGAACCAGACTCCTCAGGTCTGTCACAATTTGAGCATTATTAGATTGAGTCTTTTATAGGAATATTCTGCTGATGTAGTCCCAAAGTTGTAAATTAATGATAGACGTCTTCCATCCTGGATCCATCCCAGTTTCCTGGCCAGATGTTGATTCTTCTTGATTGGTGCTGATCTTATGTTGACTTCCTTCTTAACATAAGTAATGTTGTAAACATTTATCTTAACTTGAAAGAACCAGTCCCAGTTCTTATCAGAGTTTACTTTTCAGTTCTTATTAGCAACTTTTAATTGCAGTCCAGCAAGCAGGTAGTTAGTCATTGCAGGCCTTAATATTATACTTGTGTCTCCAAAATTATTAGCTCCATCTATCCATTCATCTTTCATTCCTCAATTCATTCCACACATATATTAAATTCACATTTATTAAATCTGCACATTGAATTTCTTATATGTGTACATTGAAAACAGTGGTGCTACTATCTCAGTCTCCCATGTGGACAATTTTTGGATTTTGGAGTGTTTTGGATTTCGGAATTCCACATAAGACTTGCTCAGCCCTCTAATGATTGATTCACGCTACAAAATGATAGTGGTATTGTTTCACTATAAGTACCAGGCATCTGACCCATTGAGTCCTGGGATTAGTTATCTGGCGATTCACCGGAACTCTGTCACTGAGCATTCCCATCATTGTCAATTGAAGGATTCCATAAGAGAGAAGCATGGCAGCGGGATAATTGTGCTGTAACTCTGTAGTATGAATGCATCTTCTAGCAACACGAATTGCAAAGACTTCTTTGGCACTCATGGATCCTTGGTATCTAATGTTATAATGTAATACATGATAATAATACCATAATGTAATACAATGCTAATCTATATAAATAAAAATGTAATGTTCGTTTGTGGGATTAATGTACCTCAAAAACCACTGGATGAAATGACACAAAATTTGGACACTACACCCCTAACAGACCAACAAGTGACCATCACTCATAAATCCCTCCCAAAAATAGTGGAAAGGACTTAAAACCCCAAGAAGCTATATGATGATACAGAGAAAAAAGGAAGGAAAGAGGGAGGGAAGGAAGGAAGGAGAGAAAAAAGAGAAAGAAGAAAGGAAAGAGGTAGAGAAGGAAGAAGAAGAAAGGAGAGAAGAGGAAAAGAAAAGGGGGAAAGGAAGAAAGAGGTAGAGAAGGAAAAGAAGAAGAAGAAAAAAAGGAAGGAAGGAAGGAAAGAGAGGAAGAGAGGGAGGAAGGAGAAAGAGGTAGGAAGGAAAGAAGGAAAGACAGAAGGAAAGATGAAAAAAGCGAGGAAGGAAGGAAAAGAGGTAGAGAAGGAACGAAGGAGAGAAGGAAAGAAAAAAGGAAGGGAAGAAAGGGAGCGAAGGAAGAGGAAAGAAGGAAGGGAGGGAAGGTTGGCCACAGCAAGGTAAAGCTAGTAATAATAATATGATATAATAATTATATATTTTATATCTACAAGTAATATTACTAATAATACTACAGTACAGTAGTATTGTACAATATATAATATTAATATTGTACTATGCTAATAATATAATGTATTGTATGTACATATAACTTGTGAGCCGCTCTGAGTCCTCTTCGGGGTGAGAAGGGCAGCATATAAATGTCATAAATCAATCAATCAATCTATGGATGCTCACGTCCCATTGAATACAACATGGCAATCCTTACCTAAAATAGCAAAAACAATGTTCACTTTTGGAATGTATTATTGGAAATGTTTTCGAACATAGACGGCTGACTATATCTGGTTGTAGGAAATTATCTTCAACTCTTGACCTCTTATCATTTTCTTGGGTTCTTCTCCCTGCTTCCACCACAGACTTTGGAAATGCTAAAGGAAACGAAAACCCCTTCCTGCAAGTGATTGGCATTGTTTGGTTCCGCTACCACAACCACTGGGCGGAAATACTTGCCAAAAAGAACCCCAAATGGTCTGACGAAGACGTCTTCCAACATGCCCGCAAAAGGGTCATTGCCACTTATCAGGTGAGTGAGGCATCGGGAAAAGAGAAAAAAATATTTTTGTAATTGTTCTGAAATAATTAGTGTCTGAGCTGGTTTTTTATTCTCCAAACCATTAATAAAGAACGAACCACCATTTAGGGTATGTGTATTGCATAGAAAAGACCTAGTGATGGAGAGATATTGGAAAAAATAGATATTTATTTATACATAAATTGTATGTACTTTACAAGCACTGAAATGTATAGAAAAATCAGGTTCTCTCTCTGTATTAGAAAGAATGCTGAAGGAGATCTGTGTCCAAGGCATGGGCAGGAGGGGGATGAACATTCCAGGAAGGGGGGAGATAAGCCCGTCCTAGTAGCAACAGAGATAAGTAAAAAGTAAGGAGCCAATCCCTCCTCCCTCCTGACAAGTCAAAGTAGGCCCCTTGATTGATGAATGTAAGCTGTAAAATGTATGCTGCTCTTTAGAAAGAAATACAGAGACATGCCTTTTGTATGTTGGAAGATAGAATTTGATATTTCTGTGATGCTAAAGTGACACAGAGAATGATGTCAATGTATGTAGAAGCATGTTTCTTTGTTTGCCTGCATTTGAAGTGTATAAAAGGCAGTCAACGCCTTTATCGGGCACTCTGGTTGCTTTTGGACACAGCTCCACTCCAGGGTCCCAGCTGGAAATAAAGCCATACTTTTCTATCTCCGGAAAGGATCTCTCTTGATATTATCTCTCCTATCATGCTGCAACATTTCAACGTTAGAATTTCAAAACAACAAGAAGTGACAACCAATATTCATGTATGGTTGAAGGCTTTCATGACCAGAATCACTGGGTTGCTGTGAGTTTTTTGGGCTGTATAATAATAATAACAAGAACAAGAACAACAACAACAACACTTTATTTATATTCTTCCCTATCTCCCCAAGGGGACTCAGAGTGGATTTTCATATACAGACACAGGCAAACATTCAATGCCCTGAAACAATAAAATACAAATGAAACACAAATACACAGACAAAGGCAAAGGCTTCCCCTTTCATCTCCGACTCTGAGAGTGGTGCTCATCTCCATTTCCAAGCCAAGGAGCCCGCATTCTCCATAGACACCTCCTAGGTCGTGTGGCTGGCATGACTACTTGGAGAACCGTTGACCTTCCTGATGAGGCAGTGCCTATTGATCTACTCACATTTGCATGCTTTTGAACTACTAGGTTGGCAGGAGCTGGGGCTAACAGCGGGAGCTCACTCCATCTCGTGGATTCGAACTGCCAACCGTCAGGTTAGCAAGTTCAGCGGCCCCACAGTTTAACCTGTTGTGCCACCGCGACCCCACAGAACATGTATGGTCATGTTCCAGCAGCATTCTCTCCTAACGTTTTGCCTGTATCTATGACTGGCATTTTCAGATGTTCTGTTGGCAACAAAGCGAGCAGAAACAGGAGAACTGCAATCAACAAGCAATCAGGGGCCAGTCAACACTTCCCAAACAGAGGATGCCTCCAGGCAACAAAGGCCAGGCTACCTCTATGCCAATACTCTCACTTAGCAAGCTTCATAGCTACTTTAATGCTAATTCTAATAAGGCAACCATATAATATGACTTCGCTTAGCATAGGACAGCTTCTCATGTCTCTGTATGTCTTATCCGCATTTTTTCCTCTTTCCTAGAACATTGTGCTGTACGAATGGTTGCCAGCATTCCTGGAGAAGGAAAACATTGCACCTTATGGAGGTGAGGAGCAGGATTTGTGCAATCGATGTAGCACAGGCATGGGCAAACTTGGGCCCTCCGGGTATTTTATTTATTTATTTACAACATTTATATGCCGCCCTTCTCACCCCGAAGGGTACTCAGAGAGGCTTACAAGATATATATACATACAACATATTATATTATTAGCATAGTACAATATCAGTATTAAATAATACTATYTTGCATTATACCATTATATTYTAATATTATTAGTAATATTACAAGTAATATAAATATATAATTATAATATCATATTATTATTAGTAGAATTATATTACATTACATTATAATATTATAAATATTATATMATATGTARATTATATTATATTATATTATATTATATTATATTATTAGAATAGCACAGGAGACAAGGTGGAACTGTCCCCTTTTGGACTTCAACTCCCACCATTCCCAACAGCCTCAAGTCCCTTCCTTTTCCCCCTCAGCCACTTAAGCTCCCTGATTGAGCGGTGATGGCATGATCGTCAGCATAGGTGAAACTGTCTGTTGCTTCTGGCAGCTGCTGAGAGGGGAAAGGAAAGGGCCTGAGGCTGTTAGGAATGGTGGGAGTTGGAGTCCAAAACACCTGGAAGGCCCAAGTTGATCTATTTCTTTCTTGGAGAGAATTTCATCTGTGCTGACGATCGTGCCATCACTGCTCAAACAGGGAGTTCAAGCAACAGAGGGGGAAAAGGAAAGGGCCTGAGGCTGTTAGGAATGGTGTGAGTTGGAGTTCAAAACACCTAGAGGGCCAAAGTTGGCCCAGGCCTGATGTAGAAGGATGCTTTGGGGAAGAAGGCTAGAAATGTGTCATGTTCCTTCCTCTCTGTGTTACAGATTACAACCAGCACGTGGATTCCAGGATCTCTCCTGAATTTCTGGTGGCTTCCTCTCTCTCCTTGGGCACAATGGTCCCATCTGGGGTCTACATGAGGTAGGAACGAATGGGCTTGGATTCCAACATTTGGTGGTTCAGCCATCAGATGAGGAGTTCTAAACCCTAACTGCGAAACAGTGAGTCCGTGGAAAGCGAATTGCGAAACAGCAAGGGAACACTGTATAACTCCTCAGTCAGGTGGAACTGAGAGACAAGAGGATTCTTTAGGAACAAGTTGCAGTCAGAATATTAATGGAAAGGAGTGTCTATAATATATAAGGCTGAGAAAGAATTACATTTAAGAAAGAAGAAAGTTACCTGACCAAGTTGATATTGGTTATACTGTCCTGAGAGTTATATAGTAACAGTTTGATGTATTCACAAGAGTAAAAGACAGTTGTAACAACATTCAAGTGGAACTGAAGGAAAGTACTGTGTAACAAATATGCTTTATGTGCAGAAGAATACATAAATGAGCATTTATTTATTTCATGCTGTGTTTCTGAGAGGTTTATTCTTCTTTCTCCTCTTTACCAGCAGCATTGCCTTGGTACCTACATACACATATAATATTAATTCGTGGTAGCGGTAGGATAACAAAATAAAGGTCCCTTCTGCCTGAAAGTTTCTATCTTTATTTCCTAACTGACTATATATATATATATA